ACATTCAAGGACCTTCGGCACAAGACCATCCTCCTTTTTCTTTGTACAATTCCTTATATTCAGCTTCTGCAACAAATGAAGCACATAACCTATAAAGACCAGATTCCTTTACTACAGTACCCCAATCCACATCCATCCTGTACAATGAACAAGACAGGGGTGTTATGAAAAAACATGCTTGTGACTACATAATAAAAATGCGTATCATAACACATCCACTCCAAGATTTAAGGTTGCTAGGCAAGCTAATGATCATAGTTTCTGTTTTCTTGACTTTGCAACTTTAATTCTCTTTTAACTTAGTTTTTTTGTATTTATATTCTGCATGTTTTAAAAATATATACATGACTTTAACTACATCCCACTACAGCATTAGAGGATTTACACCCTGAATGTTCAACATTGGAGCATAAAACTCCATTACTTGACCATATAACACTACAGTACCCTATAACACTACAATAGCTGACATCAGGAGTTAGCTGTTATGTTTTGTAGACTAGGCACTAGCAACTGATGCATAACATACTGTGTTATGCTACAGAAGTTGCATCTGCATAAGCATCCTATTTTGCAAACAGCAGAGTCAAGTTCTTAGTGTTGGCACATTCTTTCTGAGAAGCCATGTAGTTAATAGGCTGAAACCTGGTCCACCACATCAAAGATATGGATTCTATTTCCACCTGGTATAACTTGTCAGTGAAGAATAAAGGTTTGATCAATAATGAGGATGATGATGAGCACAGGATTATTTGTACCACTCAGAAGTGAGAATGGCTTCTTGGTTCCCAGCATAGTCCACTTTCCCCAAGAAAAAAGGGTGTTTTGATGGAAAGCAGCTGTAGCAACAAGATGATCCATTTTGTCTGTTCTGCTCAAAGGTTTAATTTTGAGTGGCATGCTGAAATAAGGCAGAAGAACAGCACCAGTGCCCAGTGCTGATGGAATGTGACTTAGCAAGTCTGATTCAGCAAACCAAAGACAGGAAAAATGATTTTGACAGCTTATTTATCAGACACAATTGAATGTATTTCGTGAGTGCAGCAAAAGGCTTCTCCATGATTCTAGGATGATCTTGCCAAATCTCAAGTTCCTGCTGCAAACCATGGAGGTGACAGTACTCTACAAATATGGTATTTGTTATTATAATAGGAAGTGTTAGGCAACTAAACATAGAGATAACTGTTGCTGTGCCTATCACACTTCTATGGAATTTTCATAATCAGGATCCAGGAAGTCAGCTGCAGGGAATTTGGGTGAGTGTAGAACGATGCCCTTTTCTGTGCAAAATAACGAGGAATTAACAGAAGGAGGATTGGAGATATGAATATCAATACTGACAGGTCCTGTAAGATCTGTTTTATTTTCTATTTATGATCACTCTTGGGATCAGTCGCATTCGAGAAAAGGCATACTGGAACTGATCACCAGGTCAGGAGAAAAGGCATCTGTCAGGCACTTAGAAATTCCAGCATTTGAGTTTCTCCTTTGTGAAGGATCCTCTTTTTGTGGCAAAACATGATTCTGGGCTTGATACTGGAGGCCCACATTTCTGTTGGTGTGTCCTTCAATTTATTCTTTTCCTGGAAGATGGATTGCCACTAGGTAAGAACTGATTTTCGAAGCACCTTAACTAGAGGTCAATTGCTTCTTGACAAAGGCCAGAACATGCCCTCTCTAGCATAGGCAGATCTAGGATTTAACAAAATGGAAGATGCAGATGGTGTGGCACATCATCACATATAACATAACATATTTGTCTTCACTTAAAGAGAAGCTAGAAGTCTTATTAATATACTAGGGGCCTAGCACTATATTATTCAGTTAAGGCCAAAGCAAAAGCAAATATAACTTTATTGGAATATGCAATAATTTCCTAGATGACATATAAAGTTTAAGTTGAGTAGAAAGACATATAAGCTGAGTAGAAACAGTTAAATGATATTGCTTCATTAGTCCTTTAGTCATTATAGTTAAATGTCCATCTCTTATTCAGATTTGTAAAACACAATATAGTCTTCTTGAGTGTCTTGACAATGCATCCAGTACTTCACGGTCAGTCATTCCCACAGCTGAGTTAATGTCCACCTGAGTTAATATTACTATATATGAGTTAAGGTTTTTAGCTAAAGTTTAAAACAGTTTGTAGGGCTTTGAAAGAGGAGAGAGAAGAAAGGATAATATGATGAATAATAATGAATACTGGCACTCAAGACCATTAAAAAGGAGAGAGGGTTGTTAATACCTGTGGAGTGAGGAGACATTAGCAGGACCTAGGTAGATTACAATGAGCCATGAGGTCAATCGACTCCCTCAGCGTTGCCTGAATAGAAATGTCACAGCTCCTCCCAGGATCTCTGGATCTGCCACTACTCTCTGGTAATGAATATAATGTATTACCTTGTGTTCATGTTTGCTTGACCTTCTAAATATAGATTTGATACTACTTTGAGAGCTCTTGAATTCCTATGAGTGCCCATTACACAGCTCATATTTTTTATACACTAATATGTAAAGGTGTCTAGCTTGATCTCATACTATAATCCATGCAGGTGAGATTTTTCACTAGAAAGGTACTCTTTTGTATTCTCTGACAGTGTCCACCAAAATATGAGCCAACACTCTCCTGAGAACTGGCTCATCCAGATTACTGAACCAAGGACAGTAACAATCTTTCAGCCAGCAACGTACTGGACTCATTTTAGGCTTTTCATATTGTAATGATGTATGATGACATGGGACTCAACAGTTTTAAGAAGAGGTAAATGGTGCTCCCTGGAGGAGTCCAAACTAATTGGTTTAAGCAGACTAGTTCTTAGAAACTGTCTTCTGGAAGTAAAACAGAGATATTGTTAAACTGACGGTAGTTCTGATTTATGTTATCACCTATTTGGGGTGAAAATGGATTTTCCTCAGTTTATTTTCAATCCCAGATCTTGGAAAAAAAAGAGCAGATGGACAGCTGTGCTGGCTGAAGTTTCAGATATGACCACAGGCAGACAAGGTTCCTTGGGTGAATTTGATATCTTTTATTAGACCAACCCAAATAGTTGGAGAATAGTTATTAAGCAAGGTTTCAGGTTCAAAGACCCTTCGTCAGGCTAAGGAAGTTTCAGCAGTTGGTGTGTGCTCTTCCTGGATGGAATGACAAGTAAAGAAGCCAGGGGCTGGGCTGGGGAGTCAGTTGCCAGGCAGATATGGCCACAGTCAGTCAGTCAGTCAGTCAGTCAGATATTGATAAACATGGATCATTGCCCTTTGGAGATGTGAGGTTAGTACTGTGAGGCTCTTTGCAAAGATCACAGATGTTGAGGCCTTTTCAAGGGAGAGACAGAGATGCTTCCCGTGCATTGGCACAGTAAGATTGAAGAAATGCAAACAATCCTGTACCTTAAGAGAAGGAATCATGTAGGCTGTTATCATTCTGAACTTCCACTTTTTCCTGAGTTGTTCAATCTTTTCAGTCTATTAACATCAGTCTTTTCTGGTCTATAATAGATATTAATTCTCCTGTTCTTTCAGATACTGAGAAATGTAGTGAGTAAACCTTTCCTTGAAACTGCACATACTTGTTTTATGTATACATCTTTTTCCTCCTAATTGCCTGTATGGAAAATCCACTTTGTATTTTAATTCTTTGGATTTAGGGCCATAGTATCTAGTCATAGTAGGACAAGCTGATTTAGTTATATATTGTTCAAAATGAAGACTATAACATTTAATTTCTTCTTGTACTTTACAGCCAGTTAGCTAAACAGATTTTTTCATCAACGTAATTTCTGCCAGGTTCTTGGCATTTTGTGAATGATACTTGCAAATTGGGTATTTTACCTGAAAAATCCCTTTGACCGCTATACTGAAAATCTTCACTTAGATTCTGAGTACGTATGGAAAAAAATGACACTATGTACTTGGGGACAGTTTCAGGATGTTTCTAACTCTGCTCATGGCTATGAATCCTCCAAATATAATCCAACCTCCCCCCATGAGCTTGTGAAGAAGAACTCCACGCAAGTGTCTACCATCACTCAGGTAACACAGAATAAAAACACAAACTGAATACTCTCAATGGCTTTTCAGATAGCAAGGTAAAATATTCTGCCACAACCACCATTTTGAGAGGTGAGCAAGTATCTTTTCAGACACACCTGTTGCTCCCTTCCTTAGTCCTTCAGTAGGAGAAGAGAATGAAGATCTTTCCCATATTCTCCTGTCTTTCAGAATTTGCTTTCATGGGAAAAAAGATTCCAATCATGATCTCTTCCTGCCCCCCAGTCCTGGAACCCTGCCGTACTCATTTTCCACTAGGAGACCAAATATTTAAAAGAAAAATTCCCTCTGCTGTGGCTCACATTAAGGAATTACTCCAAACCAAGATCTACATTTAGTTCCATCAGCTATATGGAAATATGGGAAGAGCTGGCATGCTGGGAAAAAGGGAACAGATTCTCATGGCAACTGTATCTATGTTGCACCTCAAGAGAAGGCAAAACAAGCACTAATTCCTTAGTTTGTTGTTACGTATGAGAGACCAGATTTTCAAAGGTATTTAGATACTTAAAATGCAGATTGGTACTTAGTTGAAACTAGGCCCCTAAATGCCTTTACAAATCTAGCCCTCTAGCATCATCTTAAATAAAGACATGAACACCACCAGAAGAACAGCCATCCAATTCTAACATTTTATCACGTGAGGTTATTCTAAAACTATATTAAACAACAGTCAAGCCTTCACCACAAAATAGCACAAATCTTTATCCCTGAAGTTGTGCTGTATTATGACAACTAATTCTTATCAGTCAGAGATGTCTCACTTTTCTTTTTTTCCATTTCTGTTAAAATTTGAATTTTCTGTTGAAAATTTGAGTATTAACTTTCGAATACTGTACATATTATATGCAGCACGGTGTAGAACAGGACCCTTTTACAGAGCTTTAGACAGTATCACTGAGGCTTTTTCTATGTCCTAAAATGCCTGTAATCATAATTTTTCTGAATACCTGAAAAAAACCCGGTGGTACAGGACCTACTGGCATGCCATCTCCTGGGGGAATGTTTCCTAGCACTGGACTGGGAGCTGCTGCAGCACTCTGAAAAGAACAAAGGAAAAATAAACCTTTGTCATTGCATAATAGGCATAAAACCAAAACACGGCTGTGACCAAAATGCAGAAAGTAAACTCTCTGGATATGGTATAATTTGTATTGTTTCCTCAAAAGGTAAATTGTAGTTCAGTAGTGTTTAATTTAATTCTATACCAGTGAAATTGTTAATTTAAGTTCAGAAATATATGTCATTTAAGGAGAAAGTTGCCAGAAATTGCACAGGTCGATATATGTATTATATATATTTATGTATATATGTACAGCACACAAATACATGAAAATTAGGTATGTACACAACAAACACACATTATGCATAGTATAAAGGGACTCATTTATATAAGCTATTAACAATTTTCAAAGACTTTCATAAATTCAGAAGACTTAATATTTAAATTATGTTTTTTTTGGCCAGGATTCTTTTACAAATAGTATAGCAAAGACTACTCATGATTCTACAAGTTCCAAAAATAACCATCATGACAGATTAAAAGAATTCAGTTACATTTTTGGACAGGCAAAGAAGAAAGTATTTCTAAGAAGTGAATCAGAGGATGAAATTAGTTACCTTTGCAAATCTTTCAAATGGAATAAGCACATAAGGAATACAGCTCCTGGCAATCTACAAGCAGGAGATCATCACAAAAATGGAAACCAAACTGTTATTGTTATCACGTACTGGAACCTCATTTACTTTTAGTTTCTAGAAGGCTGGGCAATGTGGCACCCTATAGACTAATTCATTCAGAGAGGCATGAGCTTTTGTACGCAACAGCCTAGTTTGTTAGATGCTATGAATGGACTTGCAAGGAGCAGGGTTACTGGACTTTGTTGAGTATGTTTTCAGCAGAGACTCTGGATTCCTATTCCATTCTATACACTGGCTTTTTTAAACCTTATATCCCTCAATGGGTTAACTGTTTTGTTTATCCCTTTTGTTCTCTTCAACTCACCTTTCCCTGTCTCAGCAATGCCCTCTCCTTTCTTTCTCTTTTCCTTATCTTTTGTATCTAAATGACCTTATTTCTTCCTATTTAGTACCATTGTTCTCTGCAAGTCCATTCATAGCATCTGACAAAGTAGGCTGCAGACCACAAAAGCTCATGCCTCACTGAATGAGTTAATCTTTCAAGTTGCCTATACAGGTGCTCAGTGGTGAGGGTGGAGGGGGTGGTATTAATTAGAGCAGTTCCTGGACAGCTGCTCTAATTAAGATGGCTCACCATCATGATTATTAAGCATTTCAAAATGGCTGTGAGATACTTTATCTAAAGTTTGTGCGATGAGGTTTAGAAAAAACACTCCTGCAGCCATTTTAAAATGTATGGGGGCTTAATATATGTGATGGTAAGGTAATGCTGGAGCAGTCTGATTAGAACATTTTAATTAGAGCGTTCCAATTACAGCGTGGAGCAGACTCGATTAATCATGTCTGCTCTGACGTGTTCTAATTAGAACATGAACAAGCACGTCTATAGGTAGCATAAGATACTAACACTGCCCTGCCTTCTGCCTGACTTCAGACTAACACCGCTAACTATCTCTCTCCCTACTTTTAGTTTCTAGCTGCTTTTTTTCCTGCAGTAGATTTTGTTAGCAAAAAGGGCCAAATCACCTAGGATATTGACAGATGTCCCATTTGTCCCAGGAGAAAGCTTTCTGTCCTGAGATTATACAGGTGTATGTATCCACTGTCCCACTTTAAGTCCCTCTGAAGTATGCTGGATAAAATACAGTAGCACTTCTTCCCCAGATACCCTATTTTACATTTCTTTCAAACATGTTTATCCTGAACTCCATATGTTCAGGATAAACATGTTCAGGATAAACTCCATAGGGCTGATGATACAATACTTTAACCTTGAAATTGGTCACAAAATCAGCCATATATGCCTGAGCTAGCAATGGCATTTGGCTCATAATGCATTTTTGTGCAAGATTAGCCCAAGCTAATTGAGCTATTCTATAGACCCACAGTTGATAAAGATGAATTATTTACTAGTAACTGTTCTTGAAGAATCACTTCTGTGCATTCATGGTTGTGAGCGCTGAAACCTCTAGCATCAATTGGCAGAACTTAATAGAAAAGTTGTGTCTGTTTGGCTCTTTAAGGACATCATTGGTCCTGTTCATAGAAAGCATGTACCATTTGGTACATCTCAGTTCTTTCTCCATTCTTGCAGGGTCCTGAAATACAATGTATTCTAAGGCAGAAAAGAAAGCTAGTGGGTGCTATGCATGGAAAAAGGAAGTCTTGATGAATAAATTACTACTAGGATTCTCTTTGTTCTAATGGTCTCAGAATTTCCACTTATGAGATACTGACAAGCAGTGCCCCTTCCCCAGCAGATGGCAGCTAAAGGGCCAAGGAGGGGCCAGGAGTTTAACAGAAAATGGACCTGCCAAACCAAGGATCAAACTGTAATATCAATAAATAATGCCTAGTAAAAGTATGAATAGAACTCTATGTTGCTGCTTCACAAATCTCTACAATATGGATAAACTAGCTGCAGAGTTAGCTGTGGCCATAGGAACGAATGTCTTTTATTCTATAGGTACTGGCTTTCTGGCTAAGGAATGACAACACCAGAGTTCAAATCAACAATGTTAAGTGTACATACATTAGTGAGATGTTGAAAAGAGCCACCAATGGAGCTTCAAGCTGAGAAGGAGTACTTAAAGAGTGTTTAGATCTTAAAGAGTCTCCCAAAATGAATGAATAAATATATCTTTCTTTTTTGTCCTTGGACCCTTTTTGTGCACCTCACTGTTTCCTCAGCTGGGGAGAGGGGAGGGCAGAGACCTGGGTTACTGGGGGGGGACGGGACAGAGACCTGGGTTCTGGTCCCTGCCCTACAGCCACCACCATCAGTCATTTAGATTCCTCCCCACAGAAGCAGGAATAGGCATTCTGGATTATAAGTAAATAGAAGTGTCTGTTTTACAGCATGATCCAGCCACCTCAACTGTAGAGAGTACAGGCTTTCAGACACACCCCTGCACTTAAGCATTTCCTACTGGCTATGCTTCAGCACCTCTTAACTTTCTTGGTTGCTCTTTAGTGGGAACCTAAAGAGGGCCTAAATCCAGTTAAACTAGGTCTTCCTTCTGGGGCTAAGTTTCAGATATTTCAGTGCGTTAAGCAAAAGTGCCTACATGACCAAGCTGGATCTGGCCCAGAGTGAATACTACAACATAGACTGGGAAAATACTAAAAGGAATAAATCAGTCTAGATATATGTCTCTATTATCAGTAACACCTTACTAACGTAATTTAATAAATTGATATCTAATGATGAAATTTTACATCATGGAGTCCAAATATTTATATAAAGCTTGATAAAAGATACGTTTGGTCTCCATTGCTCCATCCATCAGTAGCGGAAAGACCCAACTTAATTATACAATGATTCCTCAAACAGAGCTTGGGTACACACATGAGTGAGCTCCCAGTCAGCTTTCTGGGCCTCTCTCTCTAGACCAGTTCTGAAGAAAAACAACATACAGAATAAAAATAATTTCTACATGTGAAGGCACCCAATATTTTTTTGTGGATTTTGGATATTGTTTGCTATGGAAGTAAAGAGGCTCTAGTTCTCTAGAATAGGAGAGGTTGAAAAGAAATAATTATTATATTGCTGTGTTGGGTGTGGGGAGGCAGCTTGCTTTTAGGGTGCAGACAGAAGTGACAATTTTCGCCCTATCTGGTCACAGGAAGTGGTCTATAGCCATGTCTAAACACAAGTGCACAGCTGCAGACTGCTTAAAAAATGGGTAGTTGGGCAAAAATCTGAATCCTCATTGCATGAGGGGTCAAATGAAGATGTTTCAAAACAAAACGTCTTCTGTAACTTCCTTCTGAGCTGCCTCCCAGCCTTAAGCTGTTTTCAGAATGGGAGGGAGGAAAAGGAGCGGAGAGAGTTTGGTCCGGGAGTTTTTCAGCTGTGCTGGAGGGTAAGGTGGGTGTATTGGAGCCCGCCCACCAATACACCCACTCTACCCTCCAGTGCTGACTGGAGAACCCCTAGAATGAGCTCCCTCTCCTCCTTTTCCCCCCTCCCATTCTGAATCAAGGACAGGCTGGGAGAGAGAAGGGGCTGTTGCGAGGGGAAACCGGTTGCAGGCTCACAGTCATAAACTAGATTACCCTTCCTCCTGGAACCAATAGTGAACTTCTGTTTGGTCTGGGGGATTGTTGTAGCTCAGAACACTTCCTGCAATGCATTTTGAGTTAGAGAGGGACTAAATGCACTTCTGTCTGCGCCCCGAGTTCTCCTGTGTGTGTAGTGGATCATAGGGCTTGTATAACTTGCTCTGAACTTTACTTTGTGTTCCAGCAGCTGCCTTTGGAGAGCCACCGGAGAATGACAGAAAGAACTTAGCAATGCTATTGTATGCTAAGACATGGTGATGTGAAAAAGGGAATTTGTTTGGTGACAGTGAAAGGGGGAAGAAAGCAAAAACTTATATAATCTTGTGCAACATTTTTTACTAGCAATGAGTCAAAGATGAGATATTTATTCTTAATTTTAGTAGTTTCAGGAGTCAGGTGTTGGCTATGGGGCTCTTTGCTTCGTGCTGTTTAAAACAAGTGTAATTGAGTTAATTAACTAATTTAATTAAGTTATTTAACTTTATTAAAGTTACTGTCCTCTGTGATTTGATTATAAACCATAACATTTCTGAGTGGAGTTCAGTGTTGGTTTTAACCTAGAAAGCCCTAAATGATTTTGGATTTGGTTACTCAAGGGACTGTCTGTCTCTCTGTACAATACTATCTCAGTTTAAAAGGAACAGGGGTGCTGGAATGGTATTCTTTGAGAGGCTTTTGGCTCTGAAACTTGATTCTCAATCATGTCTGGTGACAGTAACATTTATTAAGCTAACACAAACGTTTTTTTTTCATGCTTTTGAAATGAAAAGGAAAATAGAGTGGGTTTTAAGCTTGGGTTATCACTATGATGGTGGCCAGTTTTGCCATTGTTCTC